GGTGCGGGGCGCTGCGGAGCGCAGGGTGGTGCGGGGTGCGGGGCGGTGCGGGGTGCAGGTGTTGTCAACACAGGCACACGGGGACGGGAGCGCGCAGCACAAAGTGCCCATTCAGGGCCGCCCGGCAGCAGCGCTCGCCCCCGTGGGTGCCGCCCGCGTGGGGTGCGGATCCCTTTCAGTAAACCCCTTAATCCCGGGGGGCACGAGGGGCAGCCTTGGCGCACGAGGAGGTTTAGCTCTCTCGTAAACAGTGGGATTTAGCTGGAAGAGCTGGTGCCAGAACAGCATGGGAGCTTTCCCAAACCCTGTGCTCGCAGGGAGCAGGAATTGGTGCTGCCAAGTGAGGTGGGAGCGGATTCGCCGGGGGCCACGAGGAGGGGGATAAGTGGACCTGGCCAAGAGCTACTCTATAAAGGATCCAGCTCAGTGCCTCGGGGTGGGTTCCCCTTGGGATGGGTCCCTCTTGGGGCTGCCACCACTTCCTAAGACCCCTTTACCTGGGACAAAGCACCCATTGAGTGATGCTAAACGTGCACGAGTCTGCAAAATGATTTAACCTGTGATGAGCGCAATGGCCAGGATGCCCTGGGGAATGCAGGTCCCCTCTGCCAGCCCCCTGCAGGGCACTGGGTCTGTTTTGGAGCCCTCTCACTGACAGTGCCCCCCCACTGCACACAGTCTTGTTTACTGGACTGCAGACAAATGTCCAACAGGCTCTAGGAGAGAGCTGAGCCTTGTGGGTGCGGGGCGCTGCGGAGCGCAGGGTGGTGCGGGGTGCGGGGCGGTGCGGGGTGCAGGTGTTGTCAACACAGGCACACGGGGACGGGAGCGCGCAGCACAAAGTGCCCATTCAGGGCCGCCCGGCAGCAGCGCTCGCCCCCGTGGGTGCCGCCCGCGTGGGGTGCGGATCCCTTTCAGTAAACCCCTTAATCCCGGGGGGCACGAGGGGCAGCCTTGGCGCACGAGGAGGTTTAGCTCTCTCGTAAACAGTGGGATTTAGCTGGAAGAGCTGGTGCCAGAACAGCATGGGAGCTTTCCCAAACCCTGTGCTCGCAGGGAGCAGGAATTGGTGCTGCCAAGTGAGGTGGGAGCGGATTCGCCGGGGGCCACGAGGAGGGGGATAAGTGGACCTGGCCAAGAGCTACTCTATAAAGGATCCAGCTCAGTGCCTCGGGGTGGGTTCCCCTTGGGATGGGTCCCTCTTGGGGCTGCCACCACTTCCTAAGACCCCTTTACCTGGGACAAAGCACCCATTGAGTGATGCTAAACGTGCACGAGTCTGCAAAATGATTTAACCTGTGATGAGCGCAATGGCCAGGATGCCCTGGCAGCCAGGGGAATGCAGGTCCCCTCTGCCACCCCCCTGCAGGGCACTGGGTCTGTTTTGGAGCCCTCTCACTGACAGTGCCCCCCCACTGCACACAGTCTTGTTTACTGGACTGCAGACAAATGTCCAACAGGCTCTAGGAGAGAGCTGAGCCTTGTGCCAGTGCTGGCATGGGAAGAGGCTGGGGAAGTTGGGAGGTCTCCCATGGAGAGCAGTGCGTGGTGCCCCTGGCCACAGTGGCGTTGCCCAGGGCCTTGGCACAGGTCCGGATTTCCCCTCCCTGCTCCCCCCTGCCCTTCATCTGGAGTCTCGTGCCTTCCTGCCCCTCCCTCGCAGCCGGGTCTCAGCTCCGTTACGGGGCAGTCCCACCGAATGAAATCCGTAAATCCTGGTGGCATTACAAAACATGCCTTGTGTAAGCCCCTTCAGGCCAGCTCTGGTGCTTAGCCTGGTCCCACCACCTCCCCAAAATCCTCATCGTTAAGAGCCTGGCCGAGCTCCTCTCCTGGGCTTGGGGACAGAACTGTGCACAGCACAATCTTCATCACGTCCTCACCCAGTTCCTGCAACCTCGGCCCAAAAAGAGTTAAGGCTGCAAGGGCTCCCGTGCCCCATGTGATTTCAGCATGCTGGGATGTGTATGTCCAAAAACCCCTTGTTTTGTGGTCCTGTTGCACTCGGGTGTAGGCTCAGCATGGTCTCTGCTGATCCTGGGGTTTCCCTCCCTTGCAGGACCACAGCATCACCCAGTTCCCAACCGTTACTCAGGGACATTGTAGAAAAATAATATCTGCCCATTATTTTTTTTGATTTTACAAGCTGTAAGTGGCCCCATATTGAGAGTGGCTTCCGTGGCCTCACTGGGGAGGAGCTGGAGGGACCCAGGCAGGACCAGCCCCAGGAGCTGTGAACCCATCTCAACCGCTGAACCCTGCCCAGGTGACCAAATTCACACCAGGACCTTGCCAGGCTTTTCAGGGCAAAAACTAGGGAAGAGACCTGGCCTGCTCACCCCAGGGGAGCAGGCTGGGATGGCAGGCTGCCCCGCCTGCCTCTGCCCCTGCTCCGTGCTAATGAGGAGTTACACAACAAGAAGCTTTTATACTTCGTTAATCGGGTCCGGCATCCCGGACCGCCCCTCCACGCAGCTTCAGCTGGCCAGTAGAGCCCTGGTTCCCTCCTTCCCTCTCCTCAGCTACCTTTTGTAATGTTTTAATGGGGTTTCTTGCCTGTGTTGTGCTGATTTAATTACAAAACTGCAGTGAGTTAATGCCTTGTGACGGTCTAATCCCAACCCGGTGACTCTACAAAGCGTTTGCCTGGATTTCTTGCCGCTCCATTCTGGCCTCGCCGTCCGTGTGTCCATCTCGGCCCTGTGCACTGACCCTCAGGGGGCGGGTCAGCGCTTCCATTCCCTGGGGTGAGTATCTGGGACTTCTTCCACCTGAAATGACTGCATTGGAGACCACCATCCAGCCCTCCTTTAACCTGACTGGCACCTCCAAGGCTGGGACTGCTTTTATTGCCTGGAAAAAGGAGATGCTCGTCCCTTCCCCTGGAGCTGGCAGGGAAGAGGATGCTCCTGGGAAGTGGAGCCAAGCATTCCTCACACAACCTGAGCTTGGAGATGGTGCTACAGCCTGGCCAGGGCAGAATCAGGTGCTGGAGGGTGGATTGAAGGCAGGCTTCCTCCTCCTTATGCACGGGAACAGGGTATTTCACCCAGATGGCATCAGAAAGATGCTGAGAGGCTTGTGGTCCAGCCTTGCAGCCAGCAACAGGCTCTGGGCTGGAGCAGCAGGGCTCAAGAGTTTGGGAGATACCACGGGGATAATGGGGCAGTAGGAATAAAATTCAGTAAAGGCACAAGATGCTTGCCCACCTGGCAAAAGCTGGGTACTCACCTCTGCCCTTATGAGGGTGGTCTGAGATTAAATGGCACTGGGTGAGCTCATGGGGTTGGGGGCCCCATGTGATGCCCCCAGCCACCAGTGGAAAGGCAGACCTGATGAAAAAGAATGAAGGTGTCAGATGGTCAAAACACACGTTTTTAATCTGCTTTTGCAAAGATGCCTGCTGTTCTTCAAAGTCTCTCAGCCTCTGGCAGGTGGGCAGAGACACAGGCAGGATGCAGTGGAGCCAAGGACAGTTGAGATGTCCCTGCCTGAGCAAGTGGGGCAGGGGATGGGGCATGGGGGGTGCTGCAGACCCTGTCAGGATTCCCACTGCTGCTGATTCCTCTTTC